GCACAACACTTGGCAGTTCCAGCTTGTCACTGGGTGCTTCTTGGCTCCTTGGGCCTGTTGTCACCTTTCCCCTGATGCCCACCCAGCTCCTCCTTTCCCTTTGCACTAAGGCAGAGACCCCCTCCCTGTCTGCTTTGGCCCAGCCTCTCCCAAGGACATGGCTGAAAGCTCAGGCGAGCAGCTGGTCCCTTGCAGCATCTCCTACCTGTGCAGGACCAGCCTCTGCCCTGTTGCCTTCATCTCCAGTCTTCTTATCCATCAACCTCTTCCTGTTCCCTGCCGGATGTTTCTGGGCACCACTTCTGGGACTCTGCCCTAAAAACCTGACTCAAAAATTCAGTGTTTTGCAGCCACTTTCAGCACTAAGCTTCCAGGTTTCCCACCCATGAGTACATCCATGTGTACATCCATGCGTACTCTAAGCCTACACTCATGCGTGCACTCACGCGTACATCCATGCTCACATCCGTCCACAGATCCATGTCTGTATTCATGCCTACCTGCACACATACACCCATGGACACGCATACCCCCTCATCCCCACATCCGTGCTCCCATCTCCCCCAGGCACTGCCCGGAGCTCAGCCCCGCTGCCTAGAGCTGTAGCACGGAGCCAGGACCCCAAAGCACCGCCGGGACCGAGCTCTGGAGCGGTTTCTCCTCCGGCAGAAGGGCCCCCCCTCTGTCACCCTCGGGGCCGCCCCGAGCCGCGGTGAGGGGCGGTGGCGGCTGCGGCGGAGGCGGGAGGAAGCAGCGCTCCGCCCGCGGGGCCGGGCCGAGCCGAGCCGAGGTGGCGGGGAACGGGGACAAAGGTGGCCGTGCGGGACCGGGAGCGGGGCCGGGAGCCGGGGGTGCCCCGCAGCGGAGCGGGGCTGAGCGGGCGGCAGGAGGGCGGGGGGGGGGTCCTGCTCTCCCAAACATCCTCAAGACTTTGGGGACCCCAAAAAGATCCCCAAGATACCGGGGAGAAAGGGTCCCCACTGCCCCCCCGCACTGGGAGCCCCGAGAGGCCCCGTGTCATCTCTTTGATCCCTGCTACGTGACTTAATGGGAAAACAACAATCCTGGCGCCCATCTGTCTTGTGCAGGCTGGGGGACGGTGAAACCAGCCGAAGCCATCAGCCGGAGCGGGAACACCAGGGTGCCGGACCCCACAGCCTCCTTACACCATCCCATCCCGGATCCAGCGCTCCCACAGCCACCCTCACATCAGCGATGCTGGCGGATGCCGGAGACCGGAGCTAGAGGCTGAGTCCAGGTAGGCAAAACGCCCGGCACAGCGAGACCACGGCTGAGCGGGGGACACGGGGAGGGTGGCCTTGCCCGGGTGACCGGGTTCATGGCCACGGCTCTCGGGAGCCGCAGCCGGATCTGCGGCACAGGCCATAATTCCTCCCTGTGTGAAGCGGGGAGGAGCGAAGCAGCATGGGACAAACACGGTGCCGGCGGTCAGGTCACCTGCACCGGGTGACGTGGGGCACTGTAAGCCCTGCCTGGGGCTCCTCCATGGGAAAACACTCAGCTGGGGATAAATCCCCTCTCCATGGAGCCCTGAGCCACCCACTGGACACAGCACCTTAGCTAGAAGCAGAGTTACCCCGGCTATCACGGGGCTGTTTATTCACCAGCTCCATTTCCTGGGCACGGAGGCTGCTGCTGCCAAGAGCAAGCCGCTGGGTTATTACAGTGCAATTAAAGCACACTCATCCTCAGCATCCATCCTCTATCCCTGCAGGACACGGAGCCATGAAGCTGAATGAGCGGAGCTTGGCCTTCTATGCTACCTGTGACTCCCCGGCTGACAACGCCGGCTTCCTCTACAAGCGCGGCGAGCGGCACACAGCGTACCACCGCCGCTGGTTCGTGCTGAAGGGCAACATGCTCTTCTACTTCGAGGAGCGGGAGAGCCGGGAGCCGGTGGGTGTCATCGTGCTGGAGGGCTGCACCGTGGAGCTCTGCGATTCGGCCGAGGAATTCACCTTCGCCATCCGCTTCGGTGGCACCAAGTCCCGCACCTACGTGCTGGCAGCTGAGAGCCAGGCTGCCATGGAGTCGTGGGTGAAGTCGCTCTCACGAGCCAGCTTTGACTACATGCGCCTGGTGGTGCGGGAGCTGGAGAAGCAGCTGGAGGAGATGCGCTATGGGATGGCCCGTGGGTGTGCTGGGGGATGCCGGGGGTCTCCCAGCCCCTGGAAGCCAAAGCCCTCGGAGCTGGAGCGGTCCCTGGAGCGGCCGCTGACTCTGCCCGCTGTCTTGCCAAAGGAGAATGGCTGTGCTGTGTGGAACAACGCATCGGGAGTGAACCGGCCACCCGAAGCTTCAGGTTGTGGTGAGGATGCTGGTGATGGGAACCCGCAGCCGCCGCCACTGCCACCACGCAGGCGGGCATCGAGCACCGAGGTGGGCGGTGCAGTGGTGGAGAGCCCGTCCTCCTTCTGCCGGCTCCACGAGTGGTACGGCCGGGAGGTGGCCCAGCTGCGGCGGGACTGGCTGGAGAGGCAGCGTGGTCCCCAGCCCTGAGTGATGGCCAAGGCCTGGGGACCCACCAGGACCCGTAATAAGATGATCATTGTTGGTGCTGCATCGGTCCCATCATCACCCTGGGATGTGCAGCCCTGTCTCCGGTGGTGATGGACACTGCTGATGGTGCCACCAAGGGCTCAGCGGTGAGGGACACCAGTGCTGCTCTGTGATGGTGAAATACCGGCCCAGCACTGCTGGCAACTGGGCTCAGTGTGCTGCCAGCCAGGCATGAAGCCCGTGGGCTTTGGGAGCTGATAGGCTTTCGGGCATCTTGTGCCAAGGCAGCAGATGCTTCCTCCGTGGATGCACCTCTCCAGCCTTGCGCAGCAAGCAGGCAAGCTACAAACCACTTCCTGGCTGATGCCTGCTGGGATTCCAGCACCGCACTGAATCTGGTGGGACCTCCTGGTGCTCTTGCAGTGGCATCATGCACTGACAATGCTTTTGGAGAAGGATTTGGATGGGACCTCACTGGCCTGAGCCCCTTTGTGGGTATTCCACAGCCGGGGACCCTGCTGAGCTCAGCCTTCCCCTCCCTGTGCTGAGCTCAGCCGGATCCCTCTGCTCCAGCAGGATGTGGTCTGAAAATGAAAATATCAGCGAGCGCAGCCCTTCCTTAATGGCAGCAGCTTCCCAGGGAGCTGGTGACACCCAGCCCGGGGTGCTCCACACAGGACAATCGCTGCTTGCAGCCTTGGGTGAACCCCTGGTGAGGGCAGACCCAAGGGAATGCTGCAGCTGCAGGCACTCCTGTGCTGGATGGGTATTTCAGAGCAGGGCATCACCCCTGCGCTGGCTTCCTAAGGGGAAGCATCACTCATGGTGGTAATGGGAACGTGTGTGTCAGCATGGAGCATGTTGAATGATTCATGTGCCAAGCCGGAGTGAAGCCAGGGTCTCGTGCTAGTGGTGCTCTTTTCTTCTTCCAGTGCTTTGGATTGACACTGAGGCCGCTGGCTTGGAGGTGACCTGGGTTTGAGCTGGGTGGCTCTGGCTCCCTTTGCCCCACTGGGACAAGCACACGATTTTGCTACAATAAAAGTTGTTAAGGAAATTCCTGCCTGTCCCAGGTTCTTGTTTGAGCCTTTAATCCCCTTCCTTCCATGGGGCTGGGCAGCGACAGTGTCACCCAAGTGGGACACAGCCAATGCCAGGGTCTTGCAGTGCCCTGGAGCCTGACATGCTGTCAGGGGTGGGATGGATGGGGTGAGATGGATGGGCTAGGATGGTGCCGCCCTGGGGACATCAGGATACCCAGTGCCAGGGTGGTCCCATGGCAGGGACAGCATAGTTCTGCTTCTCTGTGATGGCTTGAACAGCCAGACACAGGTGACCAACATGGGGGTTTGGGCATTAGAAAATGACTGGGAGCACAATGCTCCTATAGTTTCACCTGTGGAAGTGGTATTCTGTGCCCAAGTATGAGTTGCTGGTGCATTACAGGTTCAATGGGGTGTTACAACCATCCCATCAAACCCAGGGTTACAGGCAGCACTGTGTGATGCCACTCAGGTTTGGGTGCTCCTGTTCAGGTTGCCCTGTGCACTTGGTGGGACATCCCAAGCCATCTGCCAAGGGGTCTTAGCCAGGGACAAATTACCTGTCCCCTTGCTGGTGACACTGTTGATGCCAAATGGAAGTGGCCAACATGACCCCATGTCCCTGCCCACAACACCCACCTGCATGAACATCTCCAGCTTCTTGCCAACATCACTGAGGTCCATGTCTCTTGGAGAAGCTGAGGCACGAAGCCAGGCAGGTCACTTGCTTGCTGAGAGCACTGTAGAACCCTGAGCCCTGCTCCTGGCCACCCCACTTGGTGTTTTGGCTTTTGGAGTGGTGCTGCTGAGGGCAGTGGTGCGCAGCCGTACCCGCAGCATCCAGATGGTTAATGTGGCCCCATCAGTTGGCTGTGGAGGGAGGTTCTGGTTTCCATGGCAGCCGGCCCAGCTTCTCCAGACGTTCAGATATTCATTAGAAATAAATCCATCCCAACATGTTATCTGACAAACAAGCTTAAACAGATATGCAACATATGGATTCATTAATCCGTCAAAAGCAAACACCCCTGCCTCGTGTCAGGAGCTGCAAACATGCCCGGTGATGGGTGGCTCTGAAGAAGAGCTGTGCCAGGGTGCCATGCCATTGAGCCAAACCTCACGCCAAAGGATGCTAAGTTACCCAAGGGGCAGGAGCAAACCTGCACTAGGGATGAACACAGGACTTTCACAGGGCAGGATCCCTGCTCATTGCAGGGGGTTGAACTAGGTGACCTTTGAATGTCCAACCCATACTATTCCATGATCTCACCTTGAGCCATTTCACACCCTCTTTTCTTCCCTCAATCACCAGGAGATGTTTATGGTGGTGAGAGCTCTTGCCACAAACCCAAAGCAAGGCTGTGATTTCCTACATCAAACCAGGCACCAAGCTCCCATCCCATTTGCCTCCAGACAAAGCACACTCCCAGGCCAGGGTCGTATCCAACTTCTGTATTTAGTGGCTCTTTACAGAACTTGTTCCTTCCAAAACTGTTAAACAAAGTTCATCGAGCTCATAGAAACTTTTGAAGTACAGTACATGAGCCTAACAAAAACGTGACCGGTGCGTCCCGCCAGCTTTAATACAACAGGATTGCCGTGTCCGAGACCATCCTAAGTGCTTCCTTGAATCCCATTCCACTAAAGCTCCCGCTAGCACACGGCGGAAAAGAGCAATGATCATGCCTTGACCTTCTGCAGAGTGGTGGCAGGGAAAAGAGTGGCCATGGGCGAGCTGGGGCTCGCTGGAGCAGGGTAGGTGGGCAAGGAGAGCTGTGCCTCCATGGAGCCACTTTTAGCATCGCTCACCGACCACCACCATGTATAAAAATACCTTCTCTTCTGATAAAAATGTATAAATCGGTCAATGCATAGCCTCAGAGCCTGCAGGGAGCCCTCCCGATGGCAGTGGCCACGCTGGGTGATGGCTGATGCCATGCGGGCAGGGGACAGGGCAGAGCAGCCCAGCATGGGCCACCCCATGGTGTTTAAAGGCATTTTGAAAGCAGAGCCCAGCTGGTGGTGGTGGGGTTGGGACGTGGCACCGGGTCAGCCCTGGAAAGCCAAAGCTCAATGGTGCTTTGCCCAGTTCAGGTCTGAGCTTCCCCAGTTCAGGCAAGAGCCTGGTGTGACAACCTGGGCCTCATCCTGCTTCACAGGCAGCCACTGCCTGGGAATACCAGTGCAGTGAGGGGATGCTCCTCCTGCTCGGGTGCTCTCCCTAAGTAAAAGTGCTTCAGCCACCAGAGCTGGCTGTGATGCTGGGAGCAGCCCCGAGCAGGGCTTGACCCCCTGTGAGCAGGCAGCTCATTGTTGGGTGCTCATCCCCAAGCACTGGTGCCCCAAAGGCAAAGCTCAAAGGCTCCATCTCTTCTCCTTTCCCAAATGAACGATGGCAGAGCATGGGGAACTAGGATCGAATGGATGCCCATTCCCAGCGAGCTGGAGCCACCCCTGAGCATCACACCCAGGTACCTCTTCCCGTCTCGCTCCCACAATAACAAGCACAGGTTGCTCTCGTTGCTTTTGCATTGGTTTTCCTCTTCCTTTGGGAGCTGGCAGGAGCTGCACCGTGCCCTATTGGGGCTGCCACTGGTTACCAGCTGGAGGAAGCAGGAGGGACAGCGTTGGGACCATGCTACATCTTGTTCCAGGAGGCTAGTGCAGACATCTCTACAACATATACAACCGCACGGGACATTCTGTGTTACAAAGGTTTCCAAGAACATAAACCACCAGAACTAAATACATACTCGATGGCATCAGGGGGGTCGCTTTAGAGTCTTCAGGGACTATGTCGCAGTCTCTGGCTGGGGCAGAAGCGATGCGGTGTCTTACAGACAGAGGTGGAAACTGCTCAGCAAACATTCAGTCCATTTGGTCAGTCTCATAGTGCTTCTCGATGGCTTTGCTCAGTCTTTTCCTGTGGGATTTTCCTTTGTTTTTAATCTCATCCAGTGGCAAACTACAAGACTTCAGTGTACATTTAATGACACGACTGCTACATCATCTTCATTTTATAGCTATCTTTAATATCAAAGCAGCTTAGGCTGTTAATAAATTCCAAAGTATCCTTTTATTAAAATATCTAAAAGAGGTCTATAAATATTTTTTGTTTTCTTTTTTTTTTTTGCTTTTTGCTTTTCTAAAATCGGTCCCAGTTTTTCACATTTAAAACAAAGCTGGGGGAGATGTGGCTTTGCCATGGGGGCCACCCCCTTTTTCCATGGCTGCTCCATGGTGCCGGCTGCCTGTCGCCTCTCGGTGCGTGCTGCATTTAACAAAATATATGTATATATATGTGGGTGTCTATATATATATATCCAGGGTGTTGGAGGGCTCAGAACTCCCACTCGAGGGCCTCCTCGCGGTTGGCAGCCCGCTCCAGGCGGTGGATGATGTTGTTGAGGTTGGCCATCTTCTCATGGCGCCGCTGGACGCTGGTGCTGAGCCGGGGGCCGGGCGCTGGCGGCAGCGCCGGTGACACTGGTCCAGCAGACGATGGCCCCGGTGAGGCTGAGCCAGTGAGGCCGGGCGAGGATGCTGCTGAGGGCGATGTTGGGGAGACCTCCAAGCTGCAACGGGATGACCCTGATGAGGACTGGGAGCTGTCGGGATGCGGCGGTGGCGGCGGTGGGGGGCCTGTGGTGGCGGCACCGGCACGGCCCCCCCGCCGCGGGAGGCTGCCAGCACTGGGGGCAGCAGCATGGGGGTCTGCCCCCCGATCCTCCTGCGGGGGTCCGGTGCCCTCGGCTGCCCCGGCCGGGCTGTGTGAGTCCCGCCGGCGGCCCCAGCCGCCTGCCTCCCCCTGCTCCTCCTTCACCTTCACAGCGGCACAGGGGTGCTCGCCCCCCCCAAACACAGGTTTACGGTCCTCTGTGTCCGAATCGGGGCTATGGGGGGCCTGGCGCACTGGGATGGGTGTCCCACTGCTCTGCTCTGGATCCGTGTCGTTGTCCGGTGCGCCCTCCACCAGCATCTCCCGCCGCATCCGTGACCTGCCGGGATACAGCCATGGAGGGTCAGTGACCACCACCCATCATCCCATCCAACAGGCACCGCATGTCTTGGAAAAGCATCTCCAGCCATAAAAATGCAGTAACACCACTTGGGATGGAAAGCCCCACTTTGCTGGCCTTCAAAACACTTATCTTTGGGAAAAACACTCTGCTTGAACACAGGGAATGTGTTTTGCAACACCTTGGGGCCGTTTCCAGCCAAACTGAGACAGTTTTTGTTGTTTAATACTTACCATTTTTCAAAGGTTTCTTCAGAGCAGTTGTGTTACAGGCTTTTCTGGAACCATTTAAGTGGAAAGGTTGTGGGCTTGAAAACACCATTAGTCAATGTATGTTTTCACACTGTTTTCTATAGGGGAAGGAGCAAAACATCATCTGGGCTGCTGACTCAGAGCTGGCAGCACTTGGAGTGCGCCTGGAGAGGACCCGGGAGCCATGTATGAACCTGGAACACTGCCTAAGGATGAAGCCTATGCTGTTCCCTCGCTGTGGGGGTGAATCCTGTGCTCCAGGAGCCTCCATAAGGCTTTCCTGCACCCACAGCAGAGCTCCTGCTCAGTGGCAAGTGGTATCCCACACCAGTGAGAAAGTGGATATGAGCATGGTAATTGCTTTAGATGCTCAACACGACTTGGTCAAGCTGGTCAACACCTCTTGGCTACCCATCAACCAGGGTGCATGCAGCATTTCAGCTGCAATCCAGCACCACGCGTGGGTCTGCACGCTCCCATCTACGCAAGAGGGACTGGGAGGACTGGAAGAGCAACAACGACACCCCCTTTGTGGCTCAGCACCATCAGATATCCACAGCCCAGGAGCGCCCATACCTGTAGTTGTGGAACCAGTTGATGACGGTGTTGGTCTTGAGGTTGAGCTGGAAGGAGAGCAGCTCGATGGTCTGCTGCGAGGGGTAGGGCTCCAGCTGGTAGGCTTTCTTCAAGGCTTCCTTCTCCTCCGGGGCCAGCACCACTCGTGGCTTCTTGATCTGGAGGATGCTGAGGTCCTGCGGCTGCAGGCTGGGGCTGGCGCACTCGGAGCGGGCGCTGGGGGACTCGCTGTCCGAGCCGGCGCTCATCAGCCCATACCGACGCTTCAGGTAGGCTGCAGGAGAGGAGACCCAGCTGCATGCCCGGGGAGCCCCCCTGCTTGCCCAGCACCCCAGTCCCATTGGGGCTGCACCACCCTGGCCCTCACCTTTCTTCTCCAGCTTCTTCATGTCGCGCAGCTTCTCCACGTTGAGGGGGTCGTTGAGCCAGAGCTGCATGCGGACGAAGGGCTCCCTCCCCTTCAGGCTCAGCTTGTGCCATGGCTTGGGCCTGGAGAGGAGATCGGACACCGAGCCCTGTGTCAGGCCCAGGATGCTCTCCCCAAACAGCCGCTGGCCTGGCAGAGGAGAAGCAGAGGTGGTTAGAGTGGGGCAGAGCAGCGTGGTGGGTGCTACAGTCCCCCCATGGAGCGGGTGCCCCCTGCTTCCCAGCCAGCATCCTCCCCAGCATGCCAGGATCCCACTGAGCACCCACAGAGGACAAGGAAGGGTCTGTGGCTACAGGAATTGGGGTGATGCATCCATGCAGCCTCACCAGCAGCTCCCGAAAACCCGGGCGGAGAGAGGATCCGCACCTAAATTGTTGTCCGTCAAGACCTCCTTGACCTTCTTGGTGATGGAGTAGGTATCCAGCTCCGGGGACATGGCGACGATCTCCTGGATGCCCACAGGTCCCTGGCTGTTGGGGTACGTCTTCCCACCCAGCGCAGGCGTGGACCGGCTCTCGGGCTGCTGGTTTTCTTTGCTGCTCTCCAAGGCCAGGGTGAGGGGCTCCTGGCAGCCCTTTTCGTGCTCAGCAGGGCTGGGGGGCGGCGAGGGGGACGGCTGGGGCTCCACCGGGCTGGCTGTGTGACACCGGGGCAGAGGGGTCAGCGGGGATGGTGGGATGGGAGAGGGCAGGGACCCTGCGGGAGCAGGAAGGATGTTCTGGGGATGCTGGCAAAGTCTCACCAGCAGCTATGGCAAAGCACGAGGTGCCAGTGGAATAATTAAGGAGAGAAAACACCACCGATGTATAAAATAAACCCCAGTTTTACTTCATATCTATATCTATATCATCTATATCTATATCTATCTATAGATAGATACAGGTATCTGTGCCAGGCACAAAGCCAAAGATTTCTGTTGTGATTTTCCTTTTTATTATTAACCTAGATAATTTCAACCCCCCCTTCTGACCAAATAACTTTTGAGGATCTGTATAACAGCCCATAATTGTCTAAGTGACTAATTAAGGGGGTTTAAAATGAGTTGGATGCATTAGAGGAGAGGGGGATGAAAGGGGATTGCCAGGACTGGGGTGTAGGTGATGAGGAAGCTCTTCCCAGTGCTGGAGTGGGAGGAGGATGAACTTGCCCTGTGCTGGGATGCAGAAGCATTGGAAGCACTGATGGCACTTGGGGACCGCAGGGACCACGGTGGCACTTACCCTGGGAAGGTGTTGGCTGCTGGCTGATGCCTTGGCCCAGCTGGTCCGTCAGCCAGAGCTGCATGCGGATGAAGGGCTCCCGACCCTTCTGCGTCAGCTTGCTCCATGGCTTGGGCCGTGACAGCATGTCGCTCACGCTGCCCTGGGACAGCCCCAGCACCTAGGCACCATGCATGTGTCACCCACCAGCACCGCGCTGCTGCCTGCCCTTGGTCCCCATGCTGACGGAGGCTGCCACCCACTGCTGTGCTCATGGCCCCATGGCGTGTCCAAACCCCTTGGCCTCAGCCATAGGTCCTGGGACCATGGTGGGCCCTCCTAGGATACCCAGTGGGATGGGAGGATGGGCCCTGCAGGGTTCTGCACAGGGGACAAGGTGTTTCTGGTAGGAAGCACCATCAGCCAGTTGGTGGTGACCACTGGGAGACTATTTGGGGTTGGGTCACTGTGAGGACTTGGCAACCTCCAAGAAGAAACCCTCTGGGGAGAGTGGGAACCCTCAGAGGAGCTGGCAGAGCCCAGGGCTTCTGGTCATGAAGCAGAGGGGACAACAGACCCCCTTTCTCCAGGCTGGTACCTTCTCTCCGAAGATCCTTTGGCAGATGCCGTTCTTGGCCAGCTTCTCCTTGACCTGCCGGGTCAGCTCCAGCGTGTCCACCTCCCTGTACATGTACATCTCGTACTGCTCCGGGGTCAGCGGCGGCACCGTGGGCTTCAGGGTCCGTGGCACATAGGTGGGGTAGTAAGAGAGGCGACCACCAGCAGCCGGCTCCGTGCTGGCTCCCTCTGCCTTCACCTCGGTGAGCCGATGTGGTTCATCATCTGCTGGCGGCAGCTCCTCCTCATTGGTGCCCCCTTCAGCGGGCTCACCCCGCGGCCAGCCCCGGCCATTGGCCATGCTGGAGTAGCTTGAGGAGGAGGAGGAGAGCGAAGGCGAGACGGAGGTGTAAGGTCGGCTGAGCAGGCTCCGCTCCGATGCCCAGTGCTGGTCAAAGTAGGAGCCGGCATCACCAATCTCCGACTTCACCTTCCGGATGATGCTCTGGACAAAGGCGGCGGGGGAGAGCACAGCCAGGGGTGTCTGGGGGGGGCCAGGGCTGGCCCCATTTCCCTCCTCTTGCTTGACATAGGTGGGGACAATGTTCTGGCTGACAGTGGCCAGCGTGGAGCGCTCGGTGGGTGGTGTGTCCCCGGGGCGCCCACTGCCCCCCGATTCCATCTCCAGCAGCGCCTGCTGCTGCGCCTGCATCTCCCGCCGTGCCTGCTCCAGGATGCTCTTGATGGCATCTTCCGAGCTGCTGCCGCCGCCTGCCCCGTTGGCCACTGCTTGTGATGCCGAGGGTGTTTTGGGTTCCCCTGGAAAGAAAAGGGGTGAGGGGAGCCCTGAGGAGCCGCAAACATCGTTTTACCACGTGGCCATAATACAAAGCAGGAGAAAAGGGATTTGGAGTGCTCTCTATGGCATGGGTGCAGATCAGAAGGACCAGCAGCACCCACAAAGCAAAAGCTGCGACACAAAGCTTAAAGCTTCCTTTTTGACAACTGCAAAATAAATCCCATTACCAAAGATTGCAATAGACAAACATGTTTGTTTTCCCTGTCTGTTTTTCCACCATTCCTGTCTAATTCAATTCTCCGGGATTCTGCTTTCTCAGCAGACTACCTGTTCTAATGTATTTCGTTCCTTGTAATTGACTGTGAGCGCAGCTGCTTTAATGATTCCTTGTGCCAGATGGATCTTGCATCCTCATTTAATCATCTGGTTTGGGGCACAGGGGAGGAAAAGGGTAGATCCAAAGTTTCCAAAAGCCCAGATGCAAGCGCTGCTGCATGGGGAGTAATCTTCCACCCTATTAACCAGCGTTTCTTCCCACCATACCCCAAATCTCTATGGATGCCAGCGGGGAAAATGCCACCCAAAAGCCCATTTTGGCCATGCCAATGCTGCTCCATGCTGGGTGCCCAGGGCCACCCTGTTCAGGAATGCCATGAGTGCCGGGCTTGGCATGATCTGGACAAAGTTTCCTAGGGGATGCAGAGACTCCTGTGGTGGACACTGTTGGATTTGTGGGTGTTTCATGGGCTCCTCCATGGAACCTGCAGCCACGAGTACCCCTCTGGGTGCTGCTCCCATGGGTGCAAAGTGGGGGCTTGGCCACCCCAAGGGCCACCCAACGCACTGGCACCTACCTCCCTTCTGTGACTCGATCTCCTTCTTGGCCTGCTCCAGGATGCTTTTGATGGCATCGTCAGAGCCGGTCTCCGGCGTCCTGATCCGCGGCGTGATGCTACCTGATCAAAGAGGCAGGATAACAGCTTTGTCACCAGCGCTGGTTTACAAGCTCTGCTTGTATGTCAAGAAGTATTTGCTGCTCCTCATGTTCAGTTATTTTTAGGGATGCTGGTTTTAAGACAAATGTCACTCCTGATTAATCACCTGCTGGAGCACGGGAAGACCTGGTAGCCCCAGCTCCCAGCCACCTTGATCTCTCCATCCAAGGGCATGAAGGGTGCTGAGCAGAGACATGGGCACGGGACCATGTCCCACATCCCTGGCACTGCTTGTGCGGGTGAAAGGTTAATGTTTGATTGGATCCAGGGGTAAATCAGAGCCCTCTGGATTGAAACACCAGCATGGACATGGACCTGCAGTGCTCAGTGCCACTGAGGAGACACGAGTGACCAGCCGCCACTGCTGCCACTGTCCCTGGAGCCAGATGTCACCGTTTCATGGCAGTGCCGACACTGCACCGAGGTCCCATAGCATTAACACTTCATTATTCTAACAAAATATTCCCAAACATGTTGATTCATCACCACGGAACAGCCCAATGAATAATTTAATGGCACTTGTCAGAATAAATGAGTAAAGCCCGTCCGGAAATACAACTTCCATAAGGATGGGTTGTTGTTAACTGCTACCATTTGCCAGGGCTCCATCCCACTGGCAGCTGCTTTCATCCCACTCCAAAGCAAATGGGAGACCACTGGGACAATCCCTGAGTGCCACTGGTGACCCTGTGTGTGTGTCCACCCGTCTTGTCATGCCAGGCTGCTGGGTATCCTTGCATGGCATGATGCTGCTGGGGTGAACCGGGATGCATCTGTATGGGATCCCATGGTACCACATGCAGCCTCCCAGTGCAGGACCCCACTGGCCAGGGCCACCCCAACCACTCACCTCTCTGGCGCACCTGGATAGTCCTCAGGGCCAGCACATTCTGCTCGTCGGAGAGGAACTGCTTCATCTTGATGAATGGCTCCTTGCCCTTCACCGTCAGCTTGTGCCAGGGCTTGGGCCGGGCCAGGATCTCGCTGACGGAGCCCTGCGATAACCCCAGCACGTAATGCCCGAACACCCGCTGCCCGATGTTGTGCTTCAGCAGCTGCTCCTTCACCTGGAAGGCGATTTCGGCCGTGTCCAACTGCTCCTCCTCAGCATTGCTGCTGGTGCTGCTCTCGGTTGGCTCTCCCGGCGGGCTGGTGGCCGGCGCGGTGCCACCGGGGTGCGCGGTGCTGCTTTTGGCACTGAAGATGCCGGAGGGGAAAGGTGGCCCCGCACCAGTGTTCTCGCCCTTATAGGAGGGTGGTGGGAGCTGGGGGGCCTTGGGGTCCCCTGAAAGTCGCTCTCCCCCCGGGAAGGGGGACAAGGAGAATGTCCGTGGTCCATCGGGGGCCAAGCCAGGGCCGGGCAGAGGTGGGATGGGAGTGGGGGATGCGGCTTCTTCCGCCGGGGCGTGCTGCGGGGATGGGTACGGCTGCTCCATGCCCAGCGAGTCCTTCCCTGACTCATCTTCGGAATGATCCTCTTCTAGAGATGAATGAGAGAGAGGGAAACAGCCCTGCAGCGGAGCATCTCCTGCCTCAGTTTCCCCAGGTGGCATCCAAACCCTCCCCTGCTGTTGGCTCCGCAGCCAGGGCAGCATCCTGCCTTTCCACCCTCATTCCCAAGGATGCTCCCAGCTGCTGCGGGATGCAGGGACCCTACCAGTGCTGGCCATCAGACTGGGCTTCTCTAGCAGGTACTTCTGGGAGGGGTAGAATGCCTCCTTCCCCAGCAGCAGGGCCTCCTCTGCCTTCGATATGCTCTGCAAGGAGCCAAGCCGAGATGGGAAAGGGCGGCGGAGGCACCGGCGGCAGGGCTGGCATGGGCGCCATAGCCCGGTGAGCGTGCCGGCGCGCGCCGCGGCACTTGCCTGGGGAAGGCTGCAGCTGGCGGAGGCCACCTTCATCGCCTTAAGGATGCTGGGAGGGAGACAAGGGGGTGACTCAGCAGGAATGGCTTCTTGCTGCTGTCAAGCTGTCAGGGATGCTTGCAGAGCGCCATGGATGCCCGCGGCACCCGGCCAGGCAGGGGACAAGCAGGTAGGGTGCTGGGCAAGCCATACCTCAGCTCTGTTTTGATCTCCTCGTAGTCCGCCTGTGCCTGCAGCTTCTCCTCCAGCTTCTGCAGAGCAGAGGGGGGGATTCCTCACACCGGCTCCCATGCACACCCGGCAGGGCCAGACCCACGTACCCCCTCCTTGTGAAGCCCCAAGCCCCCGAGGACGCACCTCAATGGCTTCATTCTTGGCAGCCAGCTGCCCCTCCAGCTCGGCGATCTGGTTGGCAGAGGACTCCTCCAGCTCCTGCAGCGAGCTCTGGAGGTGCTGCACGTCCTTCAGGAGCCGCAGGATCTCCCGGTCCTTGGCAGCCAGCGCTGCCTCCAGCCTCGACCCTGAGCACATGGAATAGTTCACTTTGTCCTGCCGGGAGAGGGGACACCGTCAGCTCCCGGTCACCCAAGGTGGGGACAAGGGCTGCCCTCCCCATTAGACACATCCCCATGGGCAGCGGGCGAGCGCAGCACTCAGTGCTGTGGGTGATGCAGCCCTGGAGAGGGACAGACCCTTTCTAAGCCATTAAAGCCCCCCAGGTACATCTGCTCAGTGCCATGGGGTGCTTGTCCCCCCTTTCCCATAGGAGGCTGGGACTGCAGGTAGGACATGGCCAACGCTACACCCCACAGTGGAAAAATGCCTTGGTCACAGGCACTTTGGGCTTGCTCCCGAATACAGTGGGTATTCCTGAGCATGAAAGGATGCTCCTGAATGCAATAGGTGGCTCCGTAGTGCAGTGGGATGCTCCTGAATGTGCTAGGGCGCTCCTAGCTATGACAGGGTGCTTCCAGGAGTGATGGGATGCTACTGGCTATGACAGATGCTCCCAGACACGATTGGTGCTGCCAGCCATGATGGTGAGGTGCTGCTATCCCTGAGGGATGCTGACAGCTCTGCTGGGGTGCTGCTGTGCCCGAGGGGTGCTCCTGGTTGATTTGGGGGTGCTGCTGTGCCCAAGGGGTGCTCCTGGCTGGTTTTGGGGTGCTGCTGTGCCCGAGGGGTGCCCTCACCCCGGCAGTGCCTGGCGGGGAGCAGCAGGCCAGGCGCAGGGAGCTGTTCACAGCCGCCAGCTGCTCCCGCAAGCTCTCCACTTCCCTCTGCGCCGCCTCCGCTCGCTGCAGGAGAGCACAAAGAGCATCAGGACACGCACCCAAGCTCGTCCCACCCCGCACAGGGCACAGCGGGGCTCCAGGACACGCGTCCCTCCCAAGCATCCTGCTCCCACCACCGTCACCATAAGATCTCTGTGTATTTCCTCTCCCCACATCCTGATCCCCATCCCTGGATGCTGGCCACAGACCATGTCCAGGACACTGTCTTTTTCCAACCAAAAGGCCTTATTTACATGCAAACTGCTCTTTAAGCCTCTTCCATTACCCATGCGCATTTATTTGGACCTACAATTTCAGAATGAAGACAAACTGATGAATAGGAATGGGTAGGACCGGACACCAGCACCAGGGTGCTGTGGGTGTGCTCTAAAACACCCAGGAGAGGCTGGAGGTGACAGACATCAGCTCCAGCAGCCAGAGTGGAACCTGGCAGAAGCCCGAACACACCAGTGACCCTCAACATAGGGCACAGGGGGTCCCACTGGGCTGGGCTGGAGGAGCCACCAGGCAAAGGAAACCAGAGCCTTTGTAGGGCTTCCCAGTCCCAGAGCCTGGGAATCCCTTCTGTTTCCCAGGACAGACAGCAAGGCCACGTGGATGCTTGGGGTGCTATGGTGGGTGCATGCTCTGAGGGGCAAAGCCCATCAGCCCCAGTGTGATGGAAGGGGAGCAGGGTACGTGCCCTGTGTTGGCTGGAAAGTCAGCTCCTGGCTCACCTGGTTGGCTTTCTCCAGGTTTGTCATGATCATGGCTACTTCGTCTGCCCTGTGATGAGAAAGCAAGAGGTGTCAGCCAGCAAGGAGGAACAATCATAGCCCTCCATGGCCGGCTGGGGCTCCTCCAGGTGCCCCAGCATCTTAGATATAGGGAGTCCCCGTGACTTGGGATGCTGGAAGTATCTCAGCTCCTCAAGTCACTTGGCAGCACCATGGGGCTGTCCTGGTGCTGCTGCAGGCAGCTTGGCTCAGCCTCTGGCACACCAACAGCCTCCCCACACAACCAGATACTGCCAGTGACTCACTTGGATGCAGCTTCCTCGTCGTATTTACACCGCAGCTCCAGCAGTTCCGTCTGGGTGGCCTTCAGCGCTGGGAGGAGGAAGAGGAGGGTGAGCCATGGGGTTGGGGCTTGGCCCCCCATGGCCAGCAGCCCCGGCCCCGGCCCCCCTACCTGCGTGGAGCACTTTGATCTTCTCCTCTGCCTCCCCGAGCCGAGCGGCCAAAGTGACCTGTGCTTCCTGCAGCCCCCTATGAGACACGAGCATCAGTGAGCTGCTGATGCCGCAGCCCCCAAGGTACAGAGACCCCCTCGCTGCATCCCCTCCTCTACCCCATCGCTCCGTGGCACCAAGGAAATACCCACCAGAGGATGCCAGGACGCGTTCAAGCCATGTTACCCCCTGATGTTAAGAGTCGCATTGCCCCAGATGTAAAGGAATTCGCTTTGGGCTGAAAATGGTCCCTGCTCCCCATGGCTGAACCCCTTCCGATGGCAGCCCACCCCGCCTGTAATTAATTGGAGGAGGGGGAAGCAATCAGGGAAAAGTTATTCTGCATTATTTATAGCCCGCACTTGCCAGGAACTTATTCGCAGAGATCTGCAATTTAGGGTTTAAAGATTCCTCATTTGTTTCCCGGTGCAGCGTGTTCAGGAATAACAATGAAGGCCCTGAGAAAACCGGGAGCCTCCAAATTAAAAGGCCATTTAATGAAGTTCATCCAACGACCTGGACTTAACCCCTTTGTCTGAGCAAAGCCACGTGCCAGGGAGATGGTGTAAAGGGCTGGCTCGAGGGATCTGCCCTGGCTCTGCCCATGCCTGCCAGTGCCCAAACCCCACATGGGATGGATGGACAGATGGATGCTCAGAGTGCCCACGAATGTGTACCAGGTTTCTATACAGGTTTCTGTCTGCAAAGGAAGGTGCAAAGGGAAGGAGAAGAGGGAAGGACGGACAGACGTCCCCATGCAGGAGCAGGAACCACGTATCCCCGCAGCACCCCAAGATGACCCCATCCCCGGTACTCACGTACTTTTGCTGTTCTGCCTCATTGCTCTGCAGCAGGGTCTCTGTGCACGATGCTTTGCCCTCGATCCCAGGCTGTGGGGACTCGGCCACTGCCGGCGATGTCCCCTCCCTGCGCTCTGCGGGGGGACATGTTTCATACAGCTGCACAGGGGACAGCAGCAGCGGCCACCAGGGACCATGGCACAGGTCCTGGCCCTGAGACCCAACCCATGCCCCAAGGATGCTCAGAGGCCACAGGGTACCCATTTGGGACTGCTGCCATCCTCATCTGAAGGAACGGCCTTGATAGGGGGTACCTTTGGTGCTGATGAGCTCCGGGTGCTTCTTCCAGGGTCGGCTGAGGTCCTTCAGGTGAGAAGGTTCAGGCTCGAGGCGCTGGAGCTGCTGCAGCCGGTCCTCAAGGCTCCGCGCAGCCTCCAACACAGGAGCGGGATCTGCGGGACACGGGATGCGGTGGTGAGCAGAAGGGATGCCCACCACAAGCCCTCTCCCACCTCCCTGTGGACCCGATGCCCACCCTCCTCACCACCCCAATTGCACTCATAACCAAAGCGGGTGTCCTCCTCACCCTGAGGAACCCCTCAGGGTACCAAGTGCCACAGGCACACCCCTCAGTCCTGCGCTTTCCATCGCCATCCCCAGTGGACTGGCAAGGCTATGAGGGAGCATCACCTCCGTGAGCGAGCCGGTGGTACCCACAGCACCAGTGGCCCCAGTGCCACCAGTGCTGGCCCGTTTGGGCACAGACAATGGCGGTTTGTGCCGAGGTAAGCAGGTGCATTCAGAGCCGTCCGTCTTCCCTCTGTCAGCATTACACCATCATTAGCTAGTGTCTGCTCAGCAGGGTGTGCCATTATGTCTCCCAGGGCTGATGTAATTATACATTGACATAATTAACCCAGCAAGCCCATTAAGCAGGCCAGCTAAAAATTCATCTATAATTATTTGTTGTGTGCATGCTAATGAGTCCATCTGCACTGCCATTGTACAACATGAACAAATTAATTTACAAGTCTGGATTTTTTAATAAGTTCAAGAAAATGCCTCCTATTGAGCCAGGTTAATATAGGTTTGGTGGGGTGGGTTTTTTTCTCCTTCTTAGAAGAGGAAAGAAAATGGATTTGAATTCTCCAGGGTCAAAAAGTTAGACAAACAGGGAAGTGGGACGGAGCCGGGCGCGCTACTGTACATCAGGGATGCATGGCAGGCATCCAAGGGTGAAAAATAATAATGGTGATGGAAAAGAAATCAAACAACTGCTTGGAATGGGACACAGAACAGCCCTTCTACTGCCCTCCCCTCCAACAGCATCATGACCATGGGGTGCAGGGTCCTACTGCAACACCCACCACGTGGCTACCCTGCAGGACCAGTGAGTATCAGAGCCCATGTGCTAATGCTAAAAGCCCCTGGAGCATCCTTCTCCATAGGGAATGTTCTCCCTTCTTTCTGCTGGATGTCACAGAGGCTCCATGGATGGGCTGGGATAAAAGGTTTGTGCCCGGATCCTGGCCATGGGGATGCATCCAGAGCGGGTACTGAGCCAGGACACTGCTGGCTTTGGCACTGAAACAAGGACTCAGGTCCAGCTGGGACCTTCCCGGGCTGCTCCTGGCATCCTTTGGCTCAGTATCCTACAGGTTGGTTCCCCATCCTAGGACGCAGGAGTGAACCATCAGAGGGTCATGGTGATGCAGCACAGCCCCAAACCAGACCGGATGCTCTCACAGCCATTAATAACATCCATAAGTACATGAGATAAGATAACGATATGGTTGATTAAACCCAGCGCTCCAGGGCGCCAGCTCACAGGGGTCAGGGGTCCCCCTGCACTCCCCCACCCCTGGGGCATTGACAGGATGCTCCATGGCAGCCTCTGAGGTCTCCACAGGGATAAACACCAGAGCAGGCCCTGTCCAATCCGCACCAGCAGCTCTTCTCACCTCCGTGATGAGAAAGAAGGTGGGAGGGACTGGCCTAGGTGATAAAGCCTCCAGGGATTTTCCTCGGGTCAGCATTTTCACTATGGTGAGCAGCAGCCCCACTGCTGAAATACAACCAGGGCAATCCCCCAGTGCGCTGTTTCCCATTTGGAGCCAAAATCCCAGGATGAAGTGGTTGGGAGCAGAGCTTTTAGAAGGGAAAATAGCAAGCAGCGCTTCAGCTCCACTTCCTATACCAGCTGGGGCAGCACTCATGCAAAACACCCGGATGGATTAATTCCATCATGCTATTACCACGCTGCCCATCCCGTGGGAAAGTTCTGTCCTTGTCTATGGGGCCACCACTGAGGAGCTACTGGGACCAGGCACCAAGCTCATGCCATGCCTGCACCCTGCTCATGCTGCTGGTGGGCAAACCAGCTCTCCAACCTTCCTATTGCAGGGCTGGAGAGAGAATATACCCCAAACCAAGCACATCATCTGCTCACACGGAGGTACATGGTTGCCATCACTCTCTGAGCCACAGGAGGGCTCAGAACACTGCCTATGACACAGGGGATAGTCCCTTCCTCCGTGGGTCATGGCCCTGAGCTGTGATGGGTGACACAAGAGAGGCTTATGCCAAAACAGGACCTTGGAGTTCCCCATGCTCCAGCACTGCATCCACCTGCAGCAGCTCCCACACATTCAGGAGCTGCATCATTGCCCACCCGACAGCACAGCCAGCGAAGCAGAATCTGCTTATCTATCACTCGCCCACTGTATATATACATATCTGTGTATTTATATACATGTAACTATATATATTGTGCTTCATTATAAGTGCTGCCACTAGCTGGCGTTATTGGCTGTCCTTTAGTGGCACCAGCACTGCTGCAGCAGGGACAGGGCGGTGGGCAGGGGACCTTCCTGGTGTCTCCAGCCCTGGCACCAGGGCCAGGGCCTTTCCCTGTGCTGGAGGGGGGTCTAAGCCACCAGCAGAACCCCCCCGGACACCCCCACAGCAGGCACTGGAGCTGCTCAAGGCACTGTGTGATGGTGGGATGGGGCAGGAGGCGCCCTGGGTGCTCATCACCTTCTCCTGAGCATGCACAGCTCCAGGGAGCACCCGTGTCCCTGTGCCAGGGCCTGGCTGCTTGATCCAGCTTTCAGGGGAGGTCTCTGTGCTGTGGGGCTGAAGGGTGACATTTGGTCCATGACGATACCCAGCCCCAAGAGGAGCAGAACGCACCCATGGTGCACCCCTGTGCATGCACAGCGCATCCGTGGTACCTCCACAGCACATCCCCAGTGCCATCACCTCTGCCCCGGGGCAGCACCTCGTGCGCCACCCCATCCCAACCTGCTCAAACACATCCACTGGTGCCCTACGCATCCCTCCACGAGGCAAAGCCAGCCTTAAATCAAATCATCCCCAACAACAATGACATTAATTATGCTTTTAACACATTTTACTGCTTCCCCCCCTTCCCTTCACGCCACATCTGTGTGAACAATATCCAAAAGATTTACGGTTTTCTCCCGTAATTACAGACACACAGCCAGCTCACTTATCAAAATACTTGCTGAGCAATCAGGCTCCGTTACAGTCTCTGCCAGAGATTTGTGTTGACAGCAGCCATTCAAAGCAAAAAATGTCGAATCAGGACTTATGTGGCGCTTGTAAAGTATTCCACAAAGAGTTCGCCTGTCGAGAGACACACGGACATGTAACAGACGGGGACAGAAGGATTTGGGGAGCAGAAGGGAAGAGGGGAGCAAAAGATGGATGGAGAGAGAGGAGGAAGAGGGGGGCAGAGACCAGAAGGGAGCAGTTCTGAGGTGCGAATGTGTGTGCATCCATGTGCATGCGTGTGCAAGCAGGAGGGGCATGGTGTGTGAGCGCGGGGAGGTGGGGAGGGAAGATAACTGGGTTCTGGAAACGGAGCTGACATTTGGTTCTTGTAGCACAGGAGAAAATTTAATGAGGACAAAAATATGTCTCCCTAATTCCCCTAAGAAATCATTAAAACATTTTGTTATTCCTAAATGTCTGGAAAATGAATTAGTGGCCCTGCAGGAGCCCTTTTGAGCATCTTCAGCCGTTTGCAGCTCTCCATCCTCACCATGCTGAGGGATGCTCCATGCCCTGAGCAGCTAAACCCTGGCTCAGAGCACAGCAGAGCCCATGGCGTGGAGTGGGGAGCAATATGCCAACACAAGCCTCAGGGCTGCCCTGTGCCTCAGTTTCCCCCTCCCAAGGCTTTGAGCACGGTGGTGATACAGGGGAAGCCATCCCCGAGGCACAGCCGGTGCCGGGAGCCGTGCTGCGAGCCGGCGCTCGGCCGTTTCGGTTAACTTACCGTCAAAAAGACAACTGGGGATAGCCGCAGTGTTATTACAAGGGCTGAGCAAATGTATTCCTTTCCTAATGTCAAGATGCATTTGGCTCAGGGGCTGAAACACAGCGATGGCAAAAGCTGTTTCCACTCCTCTCTTCGGCTGGTATCTCCAGAGCACCATGCGCGAGCCGAGGTCGGTGACACCAGCCGCAGCGGGACGGGGACGGCCGGTCCTCGCTGGCTCCTCTCGGCACGCAACGCGCTAGGCAGCCAGGTCACCACCGTGTTGCTTACCTGGAGCTTCGATTAAGTGCTTGTAAACGCTCAGGAAAGCCGTCTCAGCCTCCTTGCTTCTCTTACTAAGTGCAATCACCTGCAGGGAGACGGGAAACGGGGGTCAGAGATGGGCTCGGAGGAGGGAACTGGCTCTGATGGACTGGTGCGACCCATGATGGGCACATGGGTCCCACCAAGCATCCACCCCATGCCCTGCACGGCCGCTCACTGCCTTTGGCTAAACTCCTTGCACCACGGCCACGTCACATTGCCCTAAATCATTGATGTGCTCTGAGTAAATGAAAATTATAATTTAATGTTGGTGCTTCAATAAGAAATAAAGCAGCTCGCCTGCTGTTGGGTTCACCACACAGCCCTCCCCAGCCACACTCTCAGTGTGATGCTGGGCCAGGAGTGATGCTCGCACCAGCACTGGGACATCTCATGTCCCTATCCCCCTTTGGCTGCGGGTGATGCTCGCGCCGGGTGGGTAGTGGGGAGCCGGTGTTCTGCATCGCTAATAACAGAGCAACATCTCAATCTGCTGCACGCTCCATCCAACATTTATGAGCATGAATCATTTACACACCTTAATTTTTCAAGGCGTGACAACACCTCGGGGTGGGAGCTGCTGCCCCCCAGGCTCTGGCACACTCCGTTGTGGAATGGGGCACCGGTGGGACACACAGACCTCTGTGTCCCTGCTGCCTCAGGTGCAGGAGCTGGGGATGGAGGTGACCCATTCCCAGCTGGAAAATGCAGGCTAAGACAATGACAGGCTAAGGAAATAGAGGCTGTTCAGCCTGCAGAAAGAAGGCTGTGTAGAGACCTTACAGCAGCCTTACTGTATCTGAAGGGGGGCTACAAGAGTGCTAGAGAGTGACTCTTCATCAGGGACTGTAGCAATAGGACAAAGGGTGATGGGTTCAAACTTAAACAGGGGAGATTTAGGGTAGATATAAGAAAGAAATTATTTACTGTGAGGGTGCTGAGGCGCTGGCACAGGGTGCCCAGAGAAGCTGTGGCTGCCCCATCCCTGGCAGTGCTCAAGGCCAGGTTGGACACAGGGCTTTGGAGCAAGCTGCTCTAGTGGAAGGTGTCCCTGCCCGTGACAGGGGTTGGAACTGGATGAGCTTTAAGGTCCCTTCCAACCCAAACCAGTCTATGACTCCATGCCCAGTTTGATCCAAACTGGGCACCCACACCATCCAGTGATGGAGGGTGAGTTGCCCACCAGCATTCGGTGCTGGCAGATGCACTATGGATGAGTCAATCAAAATACATTTAAGCCACCAATGGACTAATCATCAAACAAAGCCCAAACTTCACGCCTCCTGCACCGGAGCATCTTTTCCCTCCAGCCAGAGCTCGCCATTGCTTGTCATTCAAACCCAAAGCAAACCACTCATTTGTAATCCAACAGCCACCTGAGCAAACCGCCTTCTCCTTCCAAGCTCGCAGGCACTGGAGCACAAAGATCATTTTTCTATTGTTAAAATTGTATAAGCTGGGCTTTTTATAGCGTCTCGTACACAAACCTACTTTCTCAGCACCACGTTTCCAGCACAGGAGGAATTTGGGGGCTTTTCTTCAGTGTTCTGCAAAAAAAAGCCCTTGGCTTCAGGGTGCTTTAAAATAATAATAATGAAGTGGGGAATAGGGGGGGCAGAAAGCAGCCAGAGAGAGGCCCTGCCTGTGCATTGCAGCAGGACAGCATTGTGCCTGCTGAACACACCAGCAGCACGTGGTGGTGGGGTGGCACATGGAGCTTTGCCAGGGTGTCCGTAAGGATGCAGGGACACAGCGGTGCTGGGGTGCTCCACGGCATCAGTGCTGTGTGATCATCCCCGCTTCCCGCATCCTTGGGACGTTGAATGGGAGAGGAGGAGGACCTCCTGGCACTTGCAAGGGGTTGAGCAGCCACTCAGCCCATCTTCCCCCACATGAACTATACCATCAACATCCTAACTGGAGCCCCAGGACCCATAGTTTGCTGGTGGGGAGGCTTTTGGGGCCATTCCATCAGGCAAGGCATCTGGGGCCCAATAAATGTCAAGGTAATGTTTTAAATATGGATAGAAATAAATAGATATTTAAATTTTTCAGCGACCTTTTCCGGATGGGGATAATTCACCAACATGCCAGGGAAGATTCCAAGTCTTACACAGGGACACCTCACCCTGAAACCACTGCTGTTTCTCACGTAGAGCTGAACAAACACGCAGAAAAAGCCCACATCAGCCCTAAAATCAGGGGTTTGTA